ACCTTACTTGCTGTAACTCATCTAATTCTCATCACCCCCATGTCCCAGGTTGTGGGCACTATGCTATTTCCATTTTACACATGAGGGGGGCGAATTTGCCCAAGCTCACAAAGCCAGCAGTGGAGCCATCATTCAAGCCCAGGCAGGAGCTCCTGAGGGAACTGCCTTGATAATTGAACGTACAGGGGAGAAATAGAGGTTAAACAGAATTACTTAGAGGCATCTTTAAAAATATCTTTAAAAAAGCCCCCACTCTTTCTGTTTAGAAGTTCTTATACAGGTTCACTAAGATATTAGGCAGTTCTGCACTATTCCACAAAACCAAGCCCATCACTAACTTTAAGAAAGAAAACCAGAAGTATGGAATACTTCCTGATGAAGTGATGAGGTTGGTCCCTGGAAGAGAAATGGGGAGGACCTGAGTTGAATGAGGGTTTGACTAAATTGCCTCTGAGGTTCCTTAAAGCCCTGGCCTTCAGTGACTCTAGGTGAATGTCTGGGATTGAAGGGCGGAGCTCCTGTGCCCTTATTTGGGGTCCACAAAGCCCAAGCCAGGCCATGGCAGTTCATTAGTAAGAAGAATATGTGGTGACAGCTGTTGAGATAAGGTAGCTGAGTGAAGTTCTGCAAATAAGCCTCTGACTGAGAACAGAACTCTTAGTTCAACTGCAAGTCTGTGCAGAATGGACTAGCTCATGGTGAACATTTTCCGTCTTTATCTTGTTCTTTTTGGAATTTAATTGCCTTTGGAATCAGTAAAAAATAAACCATGGCTATAGATGTTTGATGACATGCAGTGGAGAAAGTTCCAAATTTTGGAGAGGAAAAGGGGAAGGTAGAAAGAAGAAAGGTAGAGAGAATGGGGGGGGGGGGGGGGGAGAGAGAGAGAGAGAGAGAGAGAGAGAGGAGATATAATAGCAGGAAAACAAAATGTGGCTATGAAGGCAAGAATGAAGCCTTTGTGAGGGTAGTCTGCTATAGCACTGAGATGATGATGGCTGAGATAGCTCAAATAACTGCCCTGCTTGCCCTTGGGGTTAAGCTGGCTTTCAGTGTTGGAAAGAGGAACCAAGGGAAAAGTCTGAAACGTTTATTTTAGCAGAAGTGTTAATCTTCTTGGGAGAAAGCAAATCCACCGAATGGAGGGATTACCACTGAGCGTGATCTGGGCAACAAAGTCGCAAGGCAAGTGGTCCTCCAGTTAATGCACAATTCCTGAGCTCTCTGTTTACAAGTGGTGGAGACATTTCTATCAGTGAGCACTGGATCGGTCTTCCCAGAGAGTACTGTGACTCAGCTAAATGGACTGAGGGCAAGATTTAAGAAAGGTGTTTCTCTTGGCTTTATTTATACTAGATTTTGAAAACAGCAACATATGCTTTCTGTTTTTCCAGTGAATTTCAAACACTTCATAATGAGTGTGTTCCTTATATCAAATGTTCATTGTGTGACCAGGTAAACGGAATCATGTCATGCTGGGAGTAAAGAGGCTATGGTCTCCTTCTAAACAGGAAAAAAGCAAACAAGGGGAAAAAATGTTGTGTTTGGTCCCTCATGGTCGGTGCCTCAGAACTGTTCAGCTGTTACTCACCACTCACCCAAGACAAACAGTTTATTGGCTGAGATAACAAAACCAGCATTCTGTGTCCCTGCTGTCAGTATGGGTGTTAAAAAAATCCCAAATAGATCCAAATCTGATGCCAAGTGGAGGGAAGAGTCACCTGAATAAGGACTGTGAATGATGTCACTGGGTGAATGATAGCTTTTTCCTTCCTTCCTTTCCTTCTAGAGCTAATGCCTCCCCTCCCCCAAATGCCCTGTTCTCAGGGTGCCTATCACAGTAATCCCATACCTATCTGTGCATTTATGACTGGGTAACTGAAGCAATATTTCCACTAAAGAATGAGGGGTTCTGAACATTTTCTCACAGTCCCTGGCATATAGCAGAAGACATTCACAAGCATTTCTTACCATGAGTGAGTGGAAATAAGTGATTGTTGATTGAAAGTTCAATATTTGAGAATTTGTTGATTTTTTTTTTCCCATAGTGGCTCCCAAAATAGGGGAAGGGAAAGTTTGGAAACAAATCCAATACTCGTGAAAATCACAGAAAATAATTTGGATGGATAACAAATTTCTAGATCCAAAAGGATAGAGATACAGTGGTAATATGAACCAAATTAAAAAAGATAAAATACTCAACCACGCACTTTCAAGATGGGGGAGAAACGACTTAACAGCAGCATGTGTAAATATAGCTAATATTTCCCTCGGCTTTATTACGTGAGTGCCAGAAAGGTTAAGGCAATTCTAGGTGCATTTTCTATGCTTCAACAGAAGCATACAAAAAAAGAAGAAGAGAGGAAGCAATAATTTCATTCCATTTTGAGGTGACGTCCTGAGGGCAACCAGCTGATGAAGAGATGCGGGAGAGTGGTAATTTTAGAAACCTTGGCTCAAGAGGAGTTTGGTTAGTTTTAGTGTGGGCAGAGAGAGGGCTGGAGAGCACTAGAGAAATACTTAAAGGGCTGTTACGTGGACCAGATGGATTACACATACTCTGGTGGCTCCAGCAGACGAAACCAGAAGCAGTATAGAGAAATTGCAAAAAGACAGGCTTTAGTTCAGTGTAAGAAAGAACTTTCTAGCAGAGCTCCTCCTCTACGAGCATGGAGGAGTAGATTTCTTAAGTCAGATATATTCAACAAGAGGCTGCGTGGCCCCTGACTGAATATGTCCTAGTGGGTTAATCTAGTGGGTCGCCAAGGTCCCTTCTAACTCTGTGGCTGTGATTCTCTTGCCATGTTGTAAAACAAAGCCAAATGGCATGAAAGTAGAAGAATACACTTCAGTAATAAAGGACCGGCCTTGAATATCCTTCATCTTCACCAGGGCCTGAAGGGCAAAGCAGTTAGGCAGCTGTCCAAGGTGCTGCATGGAGTGGCCTGTGTGGGCAGTTCTACTTCTCTGTTTTTCAGTTTGTTTTCATGCCTTCTGGGTTTTCAGCTTTTCTTCTTCTTATATAAATCAATTACCCCCCTACACGTGTATGCGTGCACACACACACACCAGGCCTTATTTAGAAGCAAAGACAGAAATATGTAGGCAATGTGTAAAAGAGCTGAACTACACTACTACCTGAGGCTTCTCTGCCCTGTCCCAGAAGCAAACGAATCCATTTCATTTTCAAATGTTAGACTTGGTACCTAAAGTTGGACTGTTTGATGGGATTGACATTTAGAGTAGCTAAAAATCTCTGCAGTGTTAGATAGACCCAGGAACATTGTGAGGGTGATATACCTGTCCTGTTCTCTATTCTCTATTTGTGCAGCCTTTCCTATGTTACTTGATTTTTTTTGTCCCTTAGTTTTTCCCACTCCCCAGATGGAAGCAATAATAGCATCACTCCTTAGGGGTATGAAAATGAAGTAACTTCATGCATGTAAAGAAGTTACAACTATACCAGGTGCACAGACAGCAAATATTAGTGTTATTATATACTGTGTTTGGGATCCTCAGATTTGATAATTGGCTAGAGGGACTCACAGGACCCGGAAATGTAGTTACACTCACAGTTAAGGTTTCTTATAGCACAAGGATACAGATTAAAATCAGCAAAGGAAAAAGGTGCACTGGGTGGAGTTCAGGTACACTGGACCACTTGCAAGCTTCCAGTTTTCCTCCCGTGCAGTCACACAGAGAGAGCTCAATTCTCTCAGCAATGACGAGTGACAATACATGCACAGTGTCACCAACCACCCACCCATGCCTTGATGCCCAGGGTTTTGGGTTTTATTGGGGTGGGGGGGTGTCCGTCACATAGGCATGCAGAGCACGTGTGACTGACCTTAGCCACTCGGTCTTCAACTCCTCCACCTTCCCCAACAAGAAGTCCAACTGACAGGGTGTGATCCAAAGCTCAGGCATACAGAAAGAGGCATTCACCATAAATCACATTGTTTGCATAAACCATTGAGGCGTGGCCCAAAGTCTAGGCATACAAAGACACTTTATCAGTCAGGATACTCCCAGGGTTCAGAAGAACCAGTCAAGGGACAGTCCTGAAGACTTTTGGAATGTGGAGGGTTTGGGCAACTCAGGCCTACTGAGTTAACCATTTACTGCACATATATGTAAATCTTGCTTATTTGAACAACCCAATTCAACCATTTTCTTAATGTTTTGAATGGCTTTTTTTTTTTTTAGTATGTGAACGTTTACTGAATGTCTACTGTGTGCATAGCTCTTATAATCTTCTCTCCATAAAGCTAGAAAATAATTTCAGTTTCAATCATGTTATAAACACAGGAAATTGTTATTACTCTAGTATAAAAGGACACACCAGAAACTAAGATCAATGCCATTGTTGCAATAATGGTGATAACAGAGTGCCCCATAAATTCTGACTACAAGTACATGTCAAGTGCTTTAGGTATAGTATTAGTTTTAGTCTTTCTCAACAACGCTGGAAGGTAGGTAACAGCTCTGCTTTACAGGTGAGGCAATAAAGGTCCAGGACTTTAAGAACTCCCCCAAGACTCCTCAGTCAGTAAGGAGTCAAGAGTACACTGACCATCTGATTCCAAATCTCATGGTCTTAACATCATACATGATAGTTTCCTATGACCTTGAGAAACAAAGGCTCTCAAAAATACTTTGAAACATTAAAAATCCAACAAAATTTATGAGACTTTATACATCTCAAGATCCACAGAATGTTTAGACAAGGGGGCAGAGTTGCGGCTAGAACACGTGTTCATTTTACCAAAAGAAGAGATTCCTGCAAAGAAGATTCCAAGATGCCTCGCTCCCTCAAAATGTGGTGTAGAAGACACAAAAGCAAGGAAAACAGAGATACAAAAGGGGGGAGAAGTTATATAGCTATTTTGAGTGTCCTGGTTAATAAGGGGGACATAAAGTCTGAATGCCTTACAAGATTCCACAATGGCCGACACCATGACTTACTTGTAACCATACATTTCTCCCTCTCCTGTTGTTAGATCTCAGTCTGTGGTGGAAGCTGGGACCCTGAAACATGAGGACAAGGGAGAGAATGAGAACGCTCGGCCACTCCTGGCTCTGGACTGAACCCTGAGCCACCCTGTGCTCCGAACATCGCCAGCCCTCAGTGCTAGCAGCCACCAGGAAGCACATGTGCAACTGACCCCACAATGCGTGCGTTCGGCTCGACACGAGGGCCTCCTCTCCTGCCACCCAGTAATGACTGTCACCAGCCATTGGTGTAAGCAGCCAAAGTTGAACAAAGACTTGAGAGATGCTTGTTTTTTCCAATGAGGGAATTGGAGGACGAAGCAAGGCAGTTACGGCAACAAGATTCCCCCCATCCCACATTTATGGTATTAAGTGAATTGAAAAGAGAAAAACTAAATCTGATGCACACACTTCATTAGGATAAGGATCTTTCTGAGGCTTTGCAGAGACTCTGTCCAGTTTTTGCAATTTAAGGTTAAGTGCATTTCCAAGTAGATACATAAGAATTAAACTGTGCAGGCACAATTGTCAAGTTTAATGTAGTGCAAAGCCCCAAGACAATAGTATCTCCAGTGATTTCCATTCCTATATTGAAATACTTTCTTTGACCTCATCACCAGCATCAAATTTCAAATTGTTCAGCCTAAGAGCACGTTCTCCTAGGTCTGGCTATTTGCAGAGCTTGTTGTTGTTTTTTTTTTTCATATCCTGCGAAAATGATTTTGATATCACATCTTTGATCAGGCCACCAGCTGATTATCATGAGCTAATTTTAAACAAAGACACAAACTTAAAGATCTCTATTTCATCTTAGCAATGTGACTTCCCACAGGGGATGTGTGTCTCTAGAGGGTGGGGGGGGGTCTCATTGAAAATATATGTCACTGATTAATGAATCCATTCAAGTTGCCTCACTTGGGTCACTACAGAAAAGAAAAGTGCTACAAAAGCATCACACCGCTCCCCACGTCCCCTCACCTCCTCTTGCAACCAGTTAAAGGTGTGGAGAAAGGGCCTGGCTGTTGCTGAGAGGGTAGGTATCAATCATGGAGGAAGACCCTTAAGGATGGTGAAATATGAAAGAACTGAAAATAAGAAAAGACCAGGAATGCAGGATGAAATGCCAAAGATCACTTTATTTCTTTGTTTATTATCCTTAGAAATGGAGTCCCCAGCTATCCATTCAAAGGAAATCAGATAAAAAATAAGCAGATTATCATAAGATATGATATCCTTATTTGTGCCATGTTTCCCAAAACCAGGTGTATGTTCTTAGCTATCTCTTATTCTCCCAGCCATCTGCATGACATGGGCCTTCATTAGTATGACCAGTTGGTGCTCAATGTCAAACAAAAAATATTTTAGTTGATAATGAGCAGTAAAATATGATTTTACACGTTAAGTACTTGGGAGGGTTAATTTGTTGGCTAAAAAATTCAAAGGAAAGAGGTGATTCAACCGGCCATAATCACCCTCAATAGATACTAATCTTAATCATGTATTACGTCTCTTTCTCAATGGATCTAGTGTTTTAATTTTTTTCTACTGGTAGAAAATAATAACAGAAGTGATTTTTGTATTCCACCCTTGAAATAAAACTGAAAGAGAATTTAAAATATTTCTCAACCAATTGCATCGCAGTATAAATAAAACCAATTCATTTTGTGTAGACATTTCAAATAACAAAAAAATAACACTGAAATAATTCTACCAATGCAATGACTGACACACTTTTCTTATATACCACAACACAGGGAAGAAAGACGAAGAATTAAAGCGAATTGGAAAACCCATTTTATTACTTGAGTTTATAAAATAGTTGTGGGATCCAGTATTTCAAATGCTACTGGAGTCTATTATGGCCAACATTTTGCAGCAGTAATAGCTCTGGCTTTCCAATCGGCAGTATTTAGAATCCTGTAGTGACCCGATTTTAAATACCATACTATAATTACTAAGTTAAGAGCTAGTTTTGACTCTATTCCATGATTTCATTAAACGAATCAGAGATGATGGTTCAACAGTGACAACTTACACTTTGAATTTCTTTATGTGTATGCAATATACATACAAGAGCCAAATTCAGTAAGTGACATGAATGTTACCACACGAACACTAGATTGTATTGTTCTTTGTCAGTCATTTCTTCTGTTCAATAAATACTGAAGGACACAAAATGCTTTTTTATTTTTCAAGAGTTTGCTTTTTCTTCTGGATTTCGGTAATTAATTTTGACATTTTTCCTCACATGCGTCTTCATCTATTTTAGTGAGATTTTTCAACATTGGCAAAACAGAAGGAAAGAGGACAAATATTTTACAAACTCTTTGACTGGAAGCTGAAGTCCTTAAAGACAAGCAAAGGGGGTTCATTTCAATATTATAGAATGTTTTCTAAATAAGATAAAGGAAGCATCTTTCTTTGTCCTTCAATGGAAAAGAAAGCACAAGTGTTTTTTCTACCTGCGAATGAAATCTGGTAACCTATGTGTCATTTCTCCAGCATTTTTGTTCATATTGGCTTAAAATTCAGTGCATGAATATCATTACATTCTTATAGCTAACATTTCTAGTTAGCTTTGATTTAAAAAACACAAAATTTAATGCATCAATATTCCACTAAATTAATGACATGGTCATCTTCGGAACGTGTAGGCAACTGTTCTTTCTATGCAGTAGGAAATTTTAAAGCTGAACTATCAATAATGATTGCCATCTCAAAGTGAAGCTCAAATGGCAGAAGTTTCTCAAGCCAGGGAGATGTCAGAGTCTTCCAAACAATTTCAAAGAGGAAAGCGATTTTTACATCCTACACGCAGGACAGAGATCCTGGCATATTCTTGGGCTTCCACTCTGCCATCCTTCATAGTTTTACAAAATTTTGATGGGAATCCTTTCAACAACCTCATCACTCACAAGGATCCCCAATAGAAAACACTCTGGATTCCAGCCCTGTTTCATAGACGCAAAGTGACCAGGAGCCAGATGTCCTAGCAGCCCCCTATCTACCTGATCCCAAGAGAAAATTTTCACTTGGAGAAATTTTACTTTTTGCTTTCTAATGCCTAGTGCTTGACATCAAAAAAATTTACATGCGTCATTGTTATAACTCATTACAAAATGACTCCAAGTCCTTCTTCAGTGTAAAAAGTTCCTCTTAGAAAGAAATACCATTTTGACAGTATCTCCACCATTCACATAGCGAGGAGAGAAATTAAGACATGAGCTCTTAATGGTGACAAAAAAGCAAAGAGACTCAATGGGTAGGGAGCAGTACGGTTCATGAAGACATTGGCCTAATTATGTCTTTCTCCTTTGTATTAGGTAAATAGAATCGTTTTTTCATATGAGTGCCTTTTACTAAAAATAATTAAAAGAGGGACGTCTGAGTTCACCAGGAAAGTTATGATTAAGCAGAACTAAAGCGTTTATACAGCTTGCCATTAAACTCAACAAAAAAGTAGCAGTGTGTGATGACAAAATCATCCTGCTACCCTAGAAAAATATAATTGCATAGAAAAATTACAAACTAAAGCAATCCATTTACAGTTTCTACATATACTCTCATTTACACTGATTTTGCCTATTGTAAGTGGAAAAAATATCTTTGGCCGGCAAGGTAGAAGCTATCATGGGTTCACCTGGAATACAGGCATCAGATGGGGGCTGTCATGGATGAAATACCGCAGGTATTTTCTAAAAGAATTGCAGCGAGGCATATATTCCCTTTAGTGTCATCCAACCCTCGGAGGAGGTTTAGAATTTTTCAGGCTGCAAATCCAGGGAATTAAGGGCTGTGGTGTTTGAACGTCTATGCCCACATCCAAGGTGACTGAACCAGAGAGGCAGCCTCTCTCCAGCGTGTCCTGAGCCTGCACAAAATGCTAAATCGCAGGAAGGCTGCGTCTCTGATGGGGTGTCAGCTCGGGGTGCCACACATCCACGATGAAGATCAGCCGGAAAGACGTGGCATCCTGCCACACCTCATGCTCAAAGGAGTCATCAAAGATGAGCACCTTGCCTTCTTCCCATGTCCTGGAACAGAAAAGCATGGAAGCCTGTGATTCAGATGCCTGAGGATCAATCCACGTCTGTGTTCAGGAAGGCTCTCTCATGATAACCTTTGCAATAGGACCAGGTAAGTGAAACACAGGATGTGTTCTTTCCTCGGTGATTAAGAAAGAATTTCAGGATTCTTACCATGAACATCAGCTTTCGTGCTCAGCACTGAAGGTATACAAAAGGCAGGAGACTGGTGATAAGGGTAAACTTATTCTTGGTACAAACCTAGGCAAGGCTTGTTTAGTCGGGCGAGCACTCAAAAGTGTGCCCTAGTGGCTCATTCCCAAGGTGACCTCCCAGTCAATGGCTCCATGGTATCCTCCCTGGCATTTCAGAGATTGGTGTGGAAGTACAGACAGTGACTGGGTCTCAGGCATTTTGATGTCCCATAGGCATGGTGTCTGTGCATCTCCAAATGATTCTCTTTTCAACCCATTCCATTTGTTAAAGTTCCATTTTATGGAAGGGCAGATTGTTTATACTCCTAATGTTATACGCTGTGCAAGTGGGCTATCCATGGAATATTTTAAATGAATGCTGCAAAACATCCTTTAGGGCTGACAGCACTACTTCACAAGATATCTGTAGAGGAGCTAAGATCTAAATATGGTTAGTCTAAATAAGACAGTCGAGAGAGTAAAATGCAGGGCGCAATCATACAATGACTTTCAAACCCAAGGAAAGTTTATTATTTTTGCTAATGTTTTCTTCTTTTTCGAATAGGTATTAATTGTCAATATGGTAAATGCTAAGTTATGTTTCTGAAATGAAATTTTTACTAGGAAATTTTTTCTAGATATCAAAATTCCTCTCAAGTATTTAAAATTTTACTTCCTGGATTAGCAAATAATTAAAATTATAGGAGGAAAACGCTAGCTTGATTTCAACCTGTTGCATTATCATAAAGAAGTTTTCCTTAGAGAAATGATTTGTCTTTTTATGTTCATTACCTGGTGATTAATCAATATTAAATTAGATAATGTTACACACGGCAAGCTTTCTCAACCTTGGCAATACTGACATTTTTGCCAGGTAATTCTTTGTTTTGGCGGCGGGTGGGGGCTGTCCTGTGCTCTGTGAGACGTTTAGCAGCACTTCTGGTCTCCGCTAGATACTAGTAGCACGCCCTTACAAACTGTGACAATCAAAAATGTCTCCTGGGCTTCCCTGGTGGCGCAGTGGTTAGGAATCCGCCTGCCAATGCAGGGGACACGGGTTCCAGCCCTGGTCCGGGAAGATCTCACATGCCGCGGAGCAACTAAGCCTGTGCGCCACAACTACTGAGCCTGTGTGCCACAACTACTGAGCCTGTGCTCTAGAGCCCACAAGCTACAACTACTGAGCCCACGAGCCACAACTACTGAGCCCACGTGCCACAACTACTGAAGCCTGCGCACCGAGAGCCTGTGCTCCACAACAAGAGAAGCCACTGCAATGAGAAGCCCACACACCTCAACGAAGAGTAGCCCCTGCTTGCCACAACTAGAGAAAGCCCGCGCACAGCAACGAAGACCCAATGCAGCCAAAAAAAAAAAAAAAAAAAGTCTCCAGTCATTGCCAAATGTCCTGAGTTGGAAGGCAGTGAAGTGGGAGACAAATTTGTCCGAGACATATTAATGAATCTGACACTAAAATTTCCAA